CTCTCTCTCTCTCTCTCTCTCACTCTCTCACTCTCTCTTTAAAAAAAAAATTTAAAAAAAAGAAAAACACCGGTTTATAAATTTTAACATTTGTACAAAAGAGTAAAATAAGATCTGATTCTAAAGAGTGCAATCGTGAATGAAGGATCTTATGTGAATAATTAAAATAAATAAGATTGAAGGGAAAAAGGGACAGTTTAGGAAAAGAAAATACAAACTAGAAAGTGTCAAATACATTTTTACAAAATAAAGCCAGTTCTGCAATTAAAAAAAATTCTCTTCAGCATATCTCATTGCTCACAGGATACATGGATGCTTTCATGAACTCACGGATATTTGTAGAGCACTGCTTTCTACCTGGTGCCTTACAGACAGCACTACCAATGCTATGGAAGATGTGGCCATTAATGAAGCAAATACTCTACCTTCAAGTCTACTTAGGAAGAGAAGAGTTTTAACAATAGAGTAGAAGGCAGGATTTAAATGGTGTTTGAGATGGGAAAAGAGGATGAGTCAGAGTCTTCCAACCTAAGATAGAGAACCATAATGATGACACATTATAGAAAAGACCCCAAATCAATCAGGAGATGCTATACAACCTCTAACCAGCATCAAGGATTGTTTTAATGTAGTAGTTCTTATAAAACATAATTGAAAATACCTTCTCTTGTGTAAATAAAACCTTTCCACAGGTTATGGGAGTCAACTAGCCAACAGTGTCACAGCTGGCAACCAAATTGTGAATGGGACGATTGCTCTGAAAGGGGAATGGTCATGGTAGGCCAGCATGTGATGGAAACACAACTATGCTCTCTGATCAGCTGCAGGTGGTTATTATCTGCAGTTTACTGCTTTGTTAAATAAGTTTAAAAGTTTGAATAAATGTAGGCTGCTGTTTTGGTTAGCCTATGGGGGTACAGGGTGTTTTGGGTAGCCTATAGGGGTTAACCTAATGTGTGAAGGATCACCAAGATTTACAAAATTTACAATCACATACAAAATTTATTATTACCTATATAATTGAAGGACAGAGAAGGTATCTAAATTCAGGAAAGAATGGGAAATTGAACAGAAGTAATTAATACTTTCTAAATAGCTCCTTTGGCCTGGTCTTAAGTGCTTTACTGACATCATCTTATTTAATCATAACAATAATTTGTAAAGAAGGTATAATTGAACATATTTAAAGGAGGAAACTAAGATTCAGAAAAGGTAGTTGACTTAACTTGGCCAAAATCATATGGCTCTTAAATAATAGAAATTGAATCCAAATCCAGGTATGTCTGATTCCAGTTACTAGGTTATTATTTGTTTTTCCATCTAGGGATTTGCAAACTAGTTGAAGAAATATAAATGTCACACATTAAAAGTACAAGGCAGCATACATAGTGTGATATACACCACATGTATAATCGATAGTTCCAAGTAAATTTGAAGAAAGAGAATATATTTGGCAATAGAATTAAGATGTAAGATTTAACTGAATCTTAAAGATATAATGTTTGATTGATAAGGTAGGTGGATGAGAAAAATATGCATTTCTGGTTTAAAGAAAACAGCTTTCTTCAAAGTGAGTGGGGGTAGAAGAACACAAGTTGTATTCTGTAGATGGGGAAAAAAAGCAGTTTGAAATAAAGATTTTTAAAAAATTTTTTAGTTGTTGATGGACCTTTATTTTATTTATTTATATTGGTGCTGAGAATTGAACTCATTGCCTCACATACGCCAGGCAAGTACACTACCACTGAGCCACACAGCCCCAGCCCTAAAGAAGATTTTATTAAAAGGAACATTAGCAAATATTCTTTTAAAGTTTATTTCCATTGGTTGTGGACATCTCCAAAAGATAAGACACTTGTTGCAGAAGTGTCTTTACAAAGTATATTCAAAGAATTTGTCTTTCAGAAGTGATTTTTAAAAAGCAGTTCACGACCATGAACAGCAAAGTCTAGATACTCAAAACATTTTTAATTTAAATCTCTGGAGGTGGAGCCAGAGTTGACTCTAAGGAAATGAAATTTAAGAAGCACTGTTGTTGACCTTGTGGAGTCACTGGAAGTTTGAGAATGGGAGACAGAACATGGAGATATTGAAGCCTTAAAAAAATAGTGCCTGATATTTTTAGAAAGAGGTGAAAATAAATAAACAGGATGTTAGGTCCTGAATTAAGAAAGAGTCTCCGTAAGGAACTCGGGGGACTGGTAAATTAGACACCAAGATGCATTGACTAAATGAACATAATAGGGTGAATGAGTGAGAAACAGCTGCAATCTTTTAGGTCCACAGGTCCCACAGCCTTGCAGTTCTTAGAACCCAGGGTGTATAATGATAAGACTAATTCTAGACTCACACACTTATGGAACTGAAGATGCTCATATAATTCTTGCCCAGAGCAAATGCTCAGAACCCAGATGGAACTGAATCATCATGGAAAGAACACCAGTGATCCTCACTGGGAGGATCTTCAGAAAGTTGACAGGTTTAGCACTGTTTTTATGTGCTGCAATATTTATAACATTTCCATGTTAGAGAAATTTTTAAGATAATAATTTAAGTGCTTTATAATAAAATTTTGTTTGGGAACATCATGTTTTAAACTCATGAGATCATCATTCCTAAAAGGACTTAATGTATTAAATTGTGTCCTCTAGCAAAAATAATTCAAAGGATTGAACTCTCAACTTTGGAACTGTAGTAAATAGACCATACATAACATGAAAAATTCAAAGAATTATTTTTCATGAAAATTATAACAGTGCTAAAGTTCATGATAGTATTGCCCTTGTGCAGCTGCCTGAAGAAGTCTTTTTTACAAAGTATGTTCATAGGCTTTATCTTCCTGAAGCAAATATAAAGCTCTCAGAAAAGAACAATGTTGTAGTTGCAGGATGAGGAATACTTTATTGAATGATAAGTTTTTTTTTTTTAAAAAAATAATAGTTTCATGGGAATAATTATTTAAACAATTCATCAATTACTTCCTCATACAATTAGTCAATCAGCAAAAATATGGAAAAGGAAACTCAAGTGTCAGGACAGAAAGCACAGCATCCTATCATCTTCAATTTCTTTAAAAAAATCTAAAACTTAACAAATTTTTTTCCATAGGTTATATTGATGCATTATTATATAGTCATACATGCATACAATGTAACAACATAATTTCTCAAATATCTCTTGGAATGAGAATTGGAAAAATTGGACTAAAGTGTGAGGTAGCCAATTCTAAATCTGAACAAGACTAATGTAGATTGGGAATGGCCTGGCTCTTGGTGACTTAAAAAAATTGCTTAGTGTATAAATGTTCTTTATCACAACAAAAAGGCTACAATCCCTAACATTCACTACATTTATTGTTTTTAGATGTCCTACCAGTGAAACTTCAAGGCTTTTTTGAAGATTATTGACAGCAAAGATTGCAATGCCTCATGTGCATTTTCTGGCCTGATGGCTGACGCGATGTTATGCACTGGTTGTATGTCAGGAGAAGCCAATGCCTGTCAGGTACCTCCAGCTCTGTTATCCAGTCATTTTCTCCCGAAGTGCCAATTAAATGAAAGTTTTTATCAACATAAAATAATTTATGTGAGAATATTGTCACATGGTAGTTTCTTATTTCAATCAATTTCAAAAGACATTAGTTCCATTTATGTGTCAAATACCAACCTAACTGCTGGGGATAAAGTGGTGAACACAATTCCTACCTTCATGGAGTTCTCAGTGTAAAAGAATACTAAAAAAATAATACTTAGAAATCTGTAACGTAAAATTAGTCCTGTCTTCTGGAAAAACTGCAGACCTACAATAGTGCCTCCTTCTCCAGAGATGTGGTAGGAAGTTGAGCATGATGTTGAACATGAAGTTGAGCTCATGTCACTCACCATTCTGTTGAGGCTTCATCATGGATACTTAAACTCAGTAAAATGTCCACTGTAGCTAAGTTTCCTTCTCTCTATTCAATTCTGGACTCTAAATTCAAATTCTGATATGTCTAATCCAACATTTGATATGTGTAGGCAAAATAACATGGCTTGTAGTTGCCTTACATTTTGAATAAACCCAAGGTTTCCTTAAGTCTACACCCAAAGAGGAAGAATTGTTTTCAGTTCCCAAGGACTATTGATAACTTCAAATGAGAGATACAAGAAAGTTCTTTAACAGGATAAGCAACATTTTCCCTCTTCTTCTTTTAGAATGATTCTGATGGACCACTGGCTTACTCTAACTCCAGAAATATCTGGCATCTTTTTGGAATAGTAATTCAGAATGATGGATGAGATAAAAAAGAATAAGCCAGGTGTCTATACTCAAGCAACTTCTTTTTTTTTTTCATTCTTTTTTTTATTGATTGTTCGAAACATTACAGAGCTCATGATATATCATCTTTCATACATTTGACTCAATTGGGTTTTGAACTCCCATTTTTACCCCAAATACAGATTGCAGAATCACGTCTGTTACACACTCATATTTTTACATAATGGCATATTAGTGACTGTTGTATTCTGCTACCATTCCTATCCCCTACTATCCCCCCTCCCCTCCCCTCCCCTCCCATCTTCCCTCTCTACCTCCTCTGCTGCTGGGGATATAGCTCAGTTGGTAGAGTGCTTGCCTCACTCAAGCAACTTCTTATCATGGGTGGATAGCCTCCAAGACTGGATTCTGAAAGAAAGGTATGAAATGGGACTTTAGGATCTTCTTTATTGCTTCAAGATGTTTTTCTTTTAATTGATGACAGATTGGTCATTTTCTTATATAACAAAATACAAATGTCTTTGTCAATATTTTATTATCTCTAAAACACTCTTTTTTATTTATTAACTTCCTTAATTAACATAGAAGACAGAAAGAAAACAAAGTGAAGAAGGCCAAACTATTATTTTTTTTACTAATTAAGTTTTGATTTATTTTACCATTATGTTCAGAATTGAACTTAATATGTTTTTCATAATTAAAACAGACATTTTGTAAATATAAGAACATATATACTGGATCTATCAAATAAATTATTTTATTCTATAAATTATAGTTGCATTTTGGAGGAAGTACTATTCTAGGTCTGCAGTTTGCCCAAATAATATACATTCATTTTTTTTATTTATATATGAGATAGTTTGTGTATTTCATAAAATCATCTGATCTTGGAGAAGAAATGGAATAATATCAGAATTTCATGGACATCAAGTCTCTCAATTTATAAATCAAGAAACTGAACACTGGAGAAGAGAAACTTATTTAAGTCATTATTTATTATCTGATAAACTGATGAATTTTCCTTCATTAAGTTTAGACACAAAATTTGTCAAGAATTAAAAAATAATTTTTAAGTTGCAAATCTGTGTATAGTTTTTCTTTTAATCCTTCTTTTGTCACTTGTTTGTCTTCTTTTACAGCAAAAACAATGTGAAGTCCTCAAGGGCAGGGCGCTGCAAAGCACCTATTTTAGCAGTTCTCCTCAAGTCCAAGTGCATCTGTATGAGGAGCTGACTTTGTAATCTCCACAAATAATTTGTAAGGGTCCGGCGGAGCGTCGGAGGGAGAGACCACACAAGAGACCAGCTTCATGCAATTGCAGGGGGAAGTTTTATTGAACCAGCATGCTGGGGCTCAAGCCTCACTCAGGAAGGGAGAGCAGCCCAGAGCCCAGAGCAGAGGTCAAGCAGAGCTTAAGTACACTTTTTGGAGAGGGGGGGGGGCTTTGCATACATCAGAACAAATCATCTTGAGGCGCAGGAAAATTGAACAGCAACCCTGAGCCATGATTAGTACATTTATTGGCGGGAACAGTCTGGGCAGGGGTGATTGGTCACCCCTGAGCGGGGTACACATTTAAACTGATTGGTTTTGTGGCCTGGATGCTTACGTCTGAGCTATTTGGAGCCCTTAGCTAATAAACAACCAGGGAATCAATGGAAATATTTACTGGGCAGTTCAGGTATTGTTCTAACAGCTACAGAGATTACAGGTTCCGGGGGTAGCAAAGGAATTTTAACAATACCTGGCCTATTATTATTATTTTTAGCCCAAGCCTTTCAATTAAGAAACCTTACAATCCCCAGTCTTTTACACTTTAACTCAGACTCTTGCAGCTTAGAGTCAGCTTAGAAATTTTACCTTTACAAATTTACCTTATGTCATTTCCTAAATTAAAAGAAGTGGCTCCAAACTTTAAATAACATAAAATAAAAATAATCCTTCTTTCAGTTGTTTGTAGTGTTACTCTTTTATGCTTTTTTTATTCTGAAGTATGACACAAGCCAGTTCAGAATCAATGTGACAAGGTGGTGTCTTTCTCTCCCCACTCCTTATTTTGGCTATCATGAATATTTATTGAGTATAGTACAGCCAGGTACTATATACACACAGTGTATTTATCCAAGGATGCTACTTTTAATGGATAAAAATAGGCAGTAAACTCATACATAAGATAATTTTGGATTGTGATAAATATTATAAGAGAAATATGAAGTAATATATAAAATCATGGTCAAATGAGTAATCCTTTATGTTGGGCAGGCTAAATAACCTCCATGATGGAGTAGCAATTAAGATGGACCTAAATGACAAAAAAGCAAAACATACAAAATATCTAAGAGAGATTCAAAAGCAACAAGTATGAGGCTTTTAGATGGACATAAGGGAGGTAGATGTCTGTGGTGGAAAGAGGGCCATTGTGACTAAAGACTGGTGGCTAAACGAGAGATGATAGGAGAGAATATGGAAGAGGTAGCTGAGATCCAAACAGGACTTTGTAAGTGATAATCAAGACGTTGGATTTTAATTGTAACTTCAATGGAGGACCTGGAGTTTGCTAAGCAGAGGAGAGAGTGAACTGGTCTTATAAGTACCTTGCAAAGATTATGTTAGCATTGATGAAGACTATGGGCTGGAGTAGGGATTGAGAGGCACACTATGAGAAGTAGGGAGAACGGTTTAGGCTGTCCCTGTGTAACACAGAGTATGGATGTCAGGTGGGTTCTTTCTCTCATAAACTTGAATAATAAAATCCATGGACACAAAGGAGAGAGCAAAGTAACAGAATTTATTAGAGTAATAGAAAGAAAGAAAAAAAAAAGAAAGCAGAGCTCCTGAAGAGGGAGAGGTCCCGAGCGAGGGATACCCTCCCCTATGGTGATTGTCTAGGGGTTTATATGGATCTACAGGTTGAAGAACTCAGCCCCTGCTCAAACCTCATAAGGCACTCAGTGTTCCCGAAGTATTCATGAAGGCTTTAGTCCAATACAGATAATGATCAAGTATTTTTCCCTCTTTGGGAAGGCTGTGGACGTCAGGTCACGGAGGTCCTGATTTTAAAATAGTCATTTTTTCAAGTTTCTCAGCAAAAATCTGCAGTTGCTGATTGTGCTCTGTTGCCCAGGTAGTTACCCAAGGGCCCGTTTTCCTATCTTCCCAGGCTTATCTCTTCTTCCTGACTTCACTAGTAAGACATGAATGTACCTTCAACTTTTTCCTTAGGCTGGGAACATATCTTTGTGAGCTGACAGGGATCTTTAGAGAACGCAAATGAAAAGAGAAAGAAAGAATGTCATTACAAAATGGTATAAGAAGGATTTCAGGCTGTGTATTTTCCTTGTCTTATAGTTAATTCAGAAGTCAGATATTTACCAATCTTTCATTCATTCCCCCTTCTCTCTTTGTTACTAACTCAGTAGGTTATTGTGTCCTCCATCAGAAGAATCAGATGAGGCAGAACTGTGATGGGAACAGGACTGTTTAGAGGGACTGATTGCTAGAGCAGAAGAGACACAGCTCTGACCCAGAGAGTGTTAATCTGGATCCCTGAATGAAGAAGGAAGCCAGTATTTATTTCTGTGTAAAGATTACAAGGGTGGGCTAGAGTTTAGGAATTTTAGCTGATTCGGGGCACATTTTCTAAGGTGCTCTCTTTGCAGGTCCTGTGCAAGCACTTCAACCTTGCGAAAGAGGGGGTTAGTCTGGAGTCCAAGGTTACATCTTTTCCTACACGATCTTGCCTTGTGATAAGGATGAGTCACTGCAGCTGTTAAGAGAACACACAGATAGTGGTGTTTGTGGAACAGAAAACACAAATCATGCAAGTGACAAGTTAAAGGTTCTGGGAATTTGCTGTTTCTGTGACTCCTCAACACTTTTATCCTTCATATTGTTTGTCCTTGGGAAGTTGTGGTCAGGGTAATCTGGCTTCTATGATCCATCTGATTTCTGAGGCTGATGAAACAAAGGAGTGAGTGAGGGGGTAGGAAAAGGCACGGATGGTGCTCTTAACAGCCAACAATCTCCAAGTTAAGATCCCTGGAATTCATTTGCCCTTTCTTTGGGGTTGGAGACTGTTTCATTTCTCCTCAGAGGTTTGTTTTCCTCTCTTAATCTTAAGGAAAACTGTTTTTCATGGGAGTCTTTGACTTACATTCACCATCCAGCCTGGAAAACCCACAAATATGGTTAAATCCGACTTTTCTACTTTTTGCTGGGTGGGTGCTAGTTGCTGACTGACCACAGCTGGTGGAAAAACACACACAACACACTGACTTGTCATACTTTAAAATCATGATCACAAGCCTCAAATAAGTCCTTAATGTTCCCTTTTGTACTTGTACAGCCAGAACCCCCTGTGCTCCTAAATAAATCATATTCACTCTTCCCCTTCCTTAACTCCAACACTTTCTTTTTCATTTCCTTACACTCATCTGACGACCACGCTCATTATTTCACCAAACAAGAACAAAAACAAAAAATGAAACAGAAATGAATGATATTATGGTTTCTCCTGGTGCTTATTCTAAGAATGTAATACTCTACTTGCTTCCCAGAGGGCAGCATAGGTAAGTGTATTATGGAGTTAAACAGCCTGAGTATAAGTCCTGGTTTTGCCACTTCCTAGATGTGTGACTTGAGCAAATTACTTGACGTCACTATGTCTCGTGTTCCTTGATGCCATATGAGAACAGGAATAATGTCTACTTCCAGGTGCTGTTGTGGAGTATTTAAGGAGTTAAACATAATGCACTTAGAACACATAGCAAATGGCGCAAGATAGGTATTAGTTATTGTTGTCATCTATTTTCTCTTTTATTACAATGAATCATCTGTACAACAATCTAAGGCTAAACTCTCCAGATATTGTAAGACCTTATTTGTACTTACCCTCTGTTTTTGTTTGGTTATGAGGTATCTCCCCAAAGCTCCTGTGCTGATACAGGAATGCTTGGAGGTGAAGGGATTAGATTGTTAGACGGTAACCTAATCAGTCCATCCTAGTTTGGGTAGACTGACG